CCCCAATGGACCAACAGTCCATATGTAGGATGGTCATAGGCAACAACCAGGGCAGTGCACCATGGTCCATGGATAACCAAAACCACGTCGCAACCATATCAACGGCCACGAGGGGCCAAAGCACGAGGCCGACCAACTCCACCTTCCAGAGAGGGACTATAGGAGGGCATCAGTAAGGCAAGCTTAGAGGTAAAGCTTAGGTAAGAGGTACCGCCAGCCGAACCACTATCTATCGATACCAGTACGCTGTGGCACCCCGCATGGTGGTTTGGGGGGGGGGAGTATAACGCGGCCTCCATTAGTAGGAAGTACAATGTACAAGAACTATATCGGCCATCTACCTTATCTCTAACCACCACTACGGGACTCAAGCAGCTCGACCCAGTGGCGGCTATCCTATAGTTGAGGTGCAGCGGTTGCTACACCTTTAATTAGAGGTGGGTGGGGTGGGTTGTCTACGTAATTTTTCGTATGCGAATAATACAGAATAATTTGGAATATTTTAATAGGATAATAGTAACCATGTTAATATAGAATTCTAGATTGTAGATGACAGATGTTATTAATGTATTTTTAATGCGATTAAAAAGTAAAAACAACCGTTGTGTTTATGGTATTTGCATGACTATAGATACCAGCGTTTTTAGCTATCTGCCTATCTAAGTTTATAGTGATAACTGATAAGGTTAATGATTTTTCCATGATTCTAAAAATAGTAACGTATGTGAATATGTGATGCGTATAGCGTATTTAGTTTTGATAAGTCAATAATCTTCAAATGTTTTTTATATAATATAGTATTTTGTCTTAGTAATTTAGTATATACGTAATACGTGATACCTTATAACAGTGAAGTTATTAATTTTTTTGAAATTATTTATGATTTATCTGTGTTCTGTGAAATGTAAATTGTGAATAATTTAAATTCGACAATCATTATTCATTATGTCAACTACCGAATCTAATTGTGTGTGTGGCAAGAAAAGAATAGGATTAAACTTGACAAATTGGAATCGTCATTTGTCTTTTTGTAAAGTGGCTAAATTAAAAAATAATAAAATTTGTTCCGATTTGACAAGTTTTTTTCAGCCAAAACATGGAATTGCGTCACAGGGTTCAAGTACCATAAAAAAATGTATTATTTTATTTTTTGTGTGTGATACATTTTATATATCCTTATTTATTTCCAGTCAAAGCAGATATCATTGGCCAGATGAGTAATTTGCCTGAGGAATCAGATTCTGTTGAAATAGTTGAAGAATGTAAATATTTATAACATAGTGATAGTACTGATAAACAACTTAAACCTACACTAAAATAAAATTGATAGTTATGTATGATTTTTAAAATACAGAATTAATTAATTATATTTCAGCACTTGATACCAATATTATACGTGGCATAAGTAGATCAAGTACATCTCACAAACAAGAACTATCATTATTACTAAAGGGTAGGTACCTACTTGTTTTAATATTTTAATTTTTCAAGTTTTTAATTATGTTATTGGTTATCACATCTTAGTTTTTTATTTTACTATAGAGAATATGGATTCTGGGAGTGAAATCATAAGAAAAAAATATGAAGAAGATCATATCAGCGAAAATATCTTTGAAATAGGTAGGTAACTATTTTACTCAACATATTACTATCTTCATAAATATTTAATTAAAATCATTTCATGGTACTAATATTCCATAATATGGTATTATTGCCTATTGGTATTTGTATTTCTAGTAAATGGAAAAACATAGGTACATATTTATTTAAATCTTATACAAGAAAATTTTAATAATATTAAATAATTTATTAGAAGTACTAGCATAAGATGATAAAACAAAAGTTAATTAATATTATACCACAGAATAGATTAAATTAGATTTAAACTATTCTGTGATTATACATCATTATAATCTTCATAATTATATGAATCAGGAAATTTTAGATATTGATTTTATTAACTGTAGTTTATTACAATTTATTTCCCTGTCCACCACACGAGTTTTTCTCAGTAAGGCCCAGTAATCTTTTGATATTAATTTAAATAAAGAAATAAAATAAAATTTAGTAGGTACTATATCTTATTAATGTTTAATAAATGGCACATACTTCAAATTTTTCAATTTTTTGTGAAGTTTTTTAATTTTTATCAGTGGTATAATCTTAGATGTTTATTTTATTTAAGACAAATTAGATTCTGAAACTGAAATTACTGGTCAAAATGATGAAGATTATGTCTGCAAAAATAGTATGGATATAGGTAACTATTTTACTTTGCATATTGTTCTTCTATCTTTATGTAGGTATTAATATGTTGTGGTAGATGTTGGCTGTTTGCATTTCTAATCAATTAAGAAAAAACACATGTTTAAAAAAATCTTATACAAAAAACTTTAATGACATTAAATAATTTAATAGAAGTACTGACATAAGATATTATAAGAAAAGTTAATTAATATTATACATCATTATAATCTTCATAATTATATGAATCTGGAAATTATAGATACTGATTTTATTAACTGTAATTTATCACAATTTATTTAGTAGATATATTATAATAGGTAATTTTATAACTTACATAAACATAATTGACAATTGTAAAGTTAATTAAGCTTTGTTCTATAATTTATTCAATTGATAAGTTTATATAGATATTATTTATTAAACAATATATAATATGTGAGTGCTTACTTTAAATATTAAATATTATATATTTCATAATAATAGTTAATGATTTAATTTATCATTATTTTTGTAAAATGATCAATAATATATTTTTAAATGTAGATTTTATCAATTATACCTATGAATCATATTTTATACTTTCTTGCTTACAATAAGATTCAACCGACAAAATGTCCTTAAAAATTATTATGTTATGTTTGTTACATTAAAAATACATAGTATTTATTTATTTTCAGTTAAAATAAATACCATTGATCAGATGAGTAGTTTGCCTGAGAAATCAGATTCTGTTGAAATAGTTGACAAATGTAAATACTTATTTATAGCATAATTAATTATACCTACCTACTATAATACAAGAATAACATTGATTTGTAGGATTGCTTTGTACAAAAATAATTAATTTATAATATTTCAGCGCACAATTATAATATTGAAAGTGATATAAGTAGACCAAGTACATCTTACAAACATGAACTACCACTATTAATAAATGGTACTTGCTTTTCATTTTTTTATGAAGTTTTTAATCTTTGTACCAGTGGTATAATCTTAGTTGTTTATTTTATTGTAGACAAGTTAGATTCTGAAACTGAAATTACTGGTCAAAATGATGAAGATCATGTCAGAGAAAATAGGATAGATATAGGTAACTATTTTACTTTGAATGTTGTTATCTTCATGTAGGAATTAAAAATATTTTATGGTACCTATTGGCTGTTGCCTGTTTGTATTTCTAACCAATCTGAAAAGATACATATTTATTAAAGTATGTAGTATTTGTACTAAAGTATTGTACAAGAAAATTCTAATTTTACTTTAAAGATAACATTACACAGGTTAAGTCTATCACAATACTTTTTATATTCATGTTTAGATGGTACATTTAATGAAGATGAACATTTATCAAATGACCCTGCAACTTTCTGTATGTTGGAAAATCTTCCATCTGAATTTGTTGATTTTCTCTTGAAAAAAGGAGTGTTGCAACCTAATGAGGAAGATTTACCACATGATAATTTTAAAAAAGATAAAAATGGCCGTAGCTTCCACACTGCGTGGTATTGGAAAGAAATTCCAGGAAAAAAAATATTAAAAGGGATTGGTTAAGTTATTCAATTTTAAATGATAAATTATTTTGTTTGCATTGTATACTTTTTGGCAAAAACTCACAGAAAGCATGGACAAAATATGGTTTTTCGACATGGTCGAGAGCAGTATTGAGTATTCAACTTCACGAATCTTCAGAAGCTCACATTAATGCAACATTAAAATATAAACTCAGAAAGACTTCTCTACCAGTACTGCCATTACTTCAAGAAAAAGTCAACCAAGAAAAATCAGAAAACCGGGAAGTATTAAGATGTTTAGTAAACATAACACTTGTTCTTGCAAAAAATTGCCTAGCTTTTCGAGGCCACCGGGAAAATTTAAAAAAAATAGAAAAAAATCATGGAAATTTTGTCAATTTTGCTAAAGTGTTAAGTAAATACTCACCTTGTTTGGCATCTTATATTTCTAAACTTGAAACTTCTAAAAAACCTGAGGTGAATTTTTTGTCAAAACTGAGACAAAATCAATTAATTTCATGCTGTGCATCTCAAGTTAAAGAAATCATTAAATTAGAAATTAAAGAGTCCAGATTTTTCAGCATTTCCATGGATTCAACTTTTGACTTGTCAAGAAAGGAACAAATATCATTTATCGTAAGGTATATTAACAATAATGGAAATATATGTGAACGGCTTTTGGCACTTAAAGAATCAGCAATTACTACTAGTGTTCAGATTTTTGACGTATTCCAAAATATTTGTAATGAATTGTCCCTCGATTGGGTAAATTTTATGGTTGGCCAATCATACGATGGCGCTCAGAATATGAGAGGACAGAACAGTGGACTTCAAGCTCTAATTAAAGAAAAATGTCCATCAGCCACTTATATTTGGTGCACTGCTCATAGACTAAATTTAGTAGTAGTTAAAGCAGTAAGTAGTAGTTTGGACGCTGTAGATTTATTCGGAAATATGGAGACATTGTATAATTTTATTTGTGGTAGTAAGAAACGAGTTGCATACTATGAAAAAGTACAAAATGAATATTCGACAGGACAAAGAGGACGTCGATTGAAAAGAGTTTCCACAACTAGATGGACTTCTCAAGATCAAGCTCTTCAAGCTATTTTAGAAACGTTTGGCTCTGTGATTGATACACTGGAATATTCAAGAAATACTGAAGGCCGCGAGGATCAATGTGTTGGTCAGGCTGGATGCCTATTAAATTATCTTTTGTCTAAACGATTTATAATGACTGCAATGTGGTTCCAAAAGATATTCAATGTATTGTCACCTCTAAGTACCTTATTACAAACTAGAGATTTAGATATTTTAGCAGGAGTTAATTCTATAAATGATGCTAAAAATTTAATACAAGAACTCAGAAAAAATGATTCTATTATGGAATACTTAATCAAGGAAGTCAATATTTTCATAAAAGAAAATTATGGTTTTGAATTTTCTGAATTTAAAACCATCCGCATAAGAAGAAAGAAAAAAATGTCGAATGAAGAAAATGTTGATGAATGTATCAAAGACCCCATTGAGAAATTTAAAGTAGAAACTGTCTTAGGTTCCTTAGATATAATACTTAGTAATCTTAATCAGTATTTTAATGATACCACAATTGGAGTTATGAAAGATTTGGCACTTTTCAGTAAGAAGCGAATTATTGAAATTAAAAAAAACCATAAGTCTTTACCCGATGATTCATTTGTAGTGTTTTGCAAAGTTTACGGAACGTTTGTTGATCAAGAAACATTAAAAGCAGAGTTCCTTAAATTTTGTAATGTGTATGAATTATTTGAGAAAACAACTATTCTACCTGAATATTTTCACGTTTCTGACAAAAGTGATACAGAAAGCATTAGTTCATTTGAAGAGGAGACTGATCAAGAACAGGAATTTGAGTTACCTAAGCGCAAGCAAATAAATCCAATAAATATCGGTAGCTTGAAAACTATTTTTAAAGTGTTCCAAAATGGTGGTTTGGGAAATACATTTCCATCACTAGATGCTGCCCTGAGGATATCTCTGACAATTCCATTATCTAGTGCTTCTACAGAAAGGTCATTTTCCAAATTGAAAATCATAAAATCTAGACTTCGCACGACTATGTCTCAAGCTAGATTGGAAGACCTTATGGTCATAAGTTGTGAACAAGATATTGTTGATGAAATGGATCATGAAGAAATTCTCCACAAGTTTGCAGCCAATAGCATTACATTAACAAAATATTTAATTTAATAATTAATTTTTAATATTACAATTTACAATGTTATACCTGTTTGTAATTTGACAAAGAATAATATACAATCATACCTAAATTACATATGATATCATTATATTAAAGTTTAATTGAATGTAATTTTATATATTGGGTGAAGATCATCATCACATAAAAAATGTTAAGACTATGTAAGGTATTGCCATATAGTTTTTTGTAGGTATACAATATTTGAAAATTCCAAGGCTCTTATGGCAAAAATAGTCATGAAGTAACATGATGGGTGGGTGGGTGGGTGGTTGTTTTTAAGGTTTCGCTACACCTATATTTTTAAGGATAGCCGCCACTGGTGTGAAAGAAGTTCATTGTGCATACTAGTGCAAGTGTCAAGTAACAATTATTATAATAGTAACATTGTAACAAGTAGAAGGAGGTTTTTTG